GTAATATTACGACTTTATTCTCGAAACGTTGCGACTTTATTCCCGAAATAAAAGAAAAAAAAAGTCTCTAGCCTGGCCCTAATACTCCATCATACTGACCCCCAGGGGGCGCTGACAGGTATTGTTTTTCTTTGAAATTTTAGATTCAATCTTAGTCTTTTGGATAAAAATACTTATTATTCAAAACTTAGAATTTTAAAGATGTGAAAGTTGTAGTCATTTTAGTAAATTCAAAAAAGTTTTAGTCTAATTTTTGCCTGATTAAAAAAAAAAAAAAATGTTTTTGTGTCTTCCATATCTGTATACTGTATAAAGTACACCGCCAATTAATCTTGACAAGGGAATAAGAACAATTAGGTCATATTTACTAATGACCTAACTTTAGAGAAATCTGTGTGTCTCTACAACACGTTGGATTTTCTCATGGATGGATCATATTTAAGTTATATCCATAAGTCTTTCTGTGGTGTCCCACCATCAGGTTCATGGAAGGCGGGGCCAAATAAGCACAGGATGCAACAAGACTGATCTTTCACCTTTTGACTGATAGATAAGATACATAACAGGCAGAAATGTCATTGATTTTTTTTCTTTTTGAATAGTCCTCATCAACATTTAATTCAGTCCTAATCTAGACCAGGGGTCTTCAAAGTTTTCCAGGCTAAAGAGCCCCAAACTGATGGCAAGATGGAGCGGGGATCCCTTAGTTATATATATTGTATGAAATTGTTTTTATATCAAACTGGTCCTATAGTCACTATATTACAGATGGAGTGATGTAAAGAAAGTAATTTTGCCCTGGGATTATTGGATTAGATTGGATTAGATTATTAGACTTTCTGACTCCTGGTTGATGGGACAGGTGTTGTGAATGAAACGGTGCCCAGCTTGAAAGAGCTCCTGTGTGTCGCTGAATGTGAGCATTGATGACTGAAAGACATCTTCTGCCTCCATTTATCTGTTTACGACAGTCTGTTGAATTCATGTTAATGTGAATTTAAAGACATTTCAATTAGTGGAAAGAATTGCAGGATAGGAAAATAAAAAAAAGTCTAATTAACCAAAACTTTCGCGACCCCCATGCAGTACCTCCGCGGACCCCCTGTTGAAGATCTCCAATCTAGACAAAAACTAATGCTTGTTTTCATCATTTTTCGTTATTTAAGAGCCATATTTATTTTGTCACCATCTTGATATTGTCACGAAAAACAG